CTGTCTGCACCTGTCTGCTCCTGTGCATGACGACCTGATCATGCTTCTGATCCCAGTCAGACTCTGAACCCTCCTGGAAGCCTGTGGATGCCTGGAAGCCTGGATCCTGCCACCTGTTTCTGTTCCTGCCTGATCTGGATCCTGCCTGTTCTGGATCCCTCACCAGGATCGGCTTCCAGCATCACCTCTGGGACTGCAGCACTGGGGACATTCTTGTTCTGGACTGTTAAACCAGGTAAGTGACCAACTCAGATAAGCTTCTGTCAGATGATCATGGTCACTTATCTGTGTTTCTCCCACTACAGAGTGTCTGAGATTGGGCGTTGCCCCCCCCCCCCCCTGGACTCGACTTTAGTTTTTGTTTTATTACTTAATAAACGTTTTGAACTTTCCTACTGACTGTCTCTCCTTGAATACTGGGCCCATCTGTCCCCGCTTCACGACAAGAAGAGAAGCAGAAAAGAGGCTCTTTGGTGCAGAGATCTACAGCAAAAATGTTGATCTACCTAATGTGGCCAAGGAAAAAAAATGGATGGAGTTAAATCCAGAACGGGAGGAAAACCTGAACAATACTAGATTGGAGGTTTACCATAAAGCAGATTTTTTTCCTTATCTTGGCGCTGGTGGCTGGCTTTATTACTCATTCCATTCATCTGTTGAACTCTGACCGGTTCCTTATTAACTTGTTTGCCTGTTTTCCAGCCACTAGTGCCAGATTATTATCAGTGTCAGAAATATCTATCGTTCCTATATATTTTTTTTTGACTACCTGATCCTGACCTGTTTTGCCCCTGGATTCCTGAGTTTTGGTCTGCTCCTGTTTCAATCTCTTTCTGCTTGTCACCTGTTTGTACTGGTTTAGATCATCCCCTTGGTTCCTCTGCATCTCTCTGATCTTCTGCTCTGGATTCTGCCTCTGGACCCTCCTGCCCTTCAGCTTCTGCTGGCTGCTCTGCTCCGCTCCTGGAACTCATCAGGTGGCTCTCGCTGCTTGTTGTGGAAAAGTCACTGGGTCCCACTCCTTCCTCTGGTCACCCACTAAACTTATTTCCAGGTAAGTGATTCACACACTTGGTATAGTTCCTCGTCTGAGCCTAGTGAACACTATCCTGAGTGTCCAGCGAGCTGGTTTCAGCCTTGCATAATAAAGAGCTTTCAATAAAGCTCTTTTCCTTTGAACTGATCTGCTCTGTCTGCCTGAATTCTGGGTCCAATAGTCTGAGCCCTGGCAGATTTTTGTGTTTGAATGGCCTAGTTAAAGTCTAGGCTTTAACTGATTTGTTGTAAACTTAAAAATCAGATGTGACTGACTGAAACTATTTTGCGAAGGGAAAAAAAAAGGGCAAGAATGTTTCTTTAGATCCCAGATGATACAGCTTTGAATACAGTCCATGAGGAATCAACTAAAATAAGTTAAATATTAATTAAATAAACTCTTTAAAAATATTTATACCTGAGAAATCCCAAAAACAAGACTTTATTTAACCTTCGACTTCACAGTTACTAACTACCATGTTAGTTTATCATGTGATAAAAACAATAAAAACAAAACACTTTTGCACTTTTAGTTTTAGAAAATGTTGGAGGAAAAAAGAAATCAGGGAATAGTTTCTCAGATATAAAGTAATAATGTTTTACCCTTTAAAAAGAAATAAGGTGTTTGTCTTTAGGAGAATATATTTCTGAAGTAAATCAGTTAAGAAGCACGTTAGGAGTTCTTTGCTTGAAATACTCTTTTCTATGTTTTTATTGTTTCTTTCTGCCTGCAGATTAAATTTCACACAGACCTTATCTACGGAGCCACTTTTCCATCAATACATGATATTCCTCCAGGCCAGAGGAGAAGCTTATAGATGTTTCTGATGTGTTTACTTGTGTTTCAGTAACACAATTAGTGAATTCAGGTATATCAAGATGATTCATAGCTTTAGGGAACAGTGACTGTCAGACTCTGCTCTCCTTTTTATTGTAGCTCTACATATTTTCCAGGTGGAATATAAACAGTTTCATGTGATGCATTCTGAAAGAGACACTGGGATCTGCCTTCTCTACCATCAATGTTGATGCTCTACCCCTTTTTGAAGAAACTGCAGCCGTGGCTTTGGTCTCACCTTCTGGTCGTGGCTGTATGCAAGGATCCAGTCCTCCTGTTCAGGGTGGAAGAGCAGGCTCAGGATGTAGAAGTTCAGCCGGTACTTCTGGTATGTGGCTCCTTCATCAGAGCTGATCAGAAGGCTGCTCTCCACCTCCGGATCCGTCAGCAGCATAATCTTAAATGAGCAGATTGTGAGGAAATGAAGGAGAACATTAATAACAATTCAATTTAAATTCATTTCAGTTTCTATAGCGCCAATTTAAAACACATATCATCTCAAGGCACTCTACAGTTCAACCAGATCATCCAGTCAGATTGATTCAAAGTTTTATATCTAAGAAAAAACAGTTGACTGCATCGACTCATTGACTCTAAGGCAATCCCTCACACTAAGCATGCTTGTAGCGACAGTGGAGAGGAAAAACTCCCTTTTAATAGGAAAACCCCCCAGTAGAAACTAGGGTTGACACCATACTAAACTTTTCAACTCGATACCGATACTAAGGAAAATATTCGATACTCGATA